TTGATGTCTTGCAGAACACTTTTTAATTTGCAACCTCATGTTTAAATGCAAATTATTCGTAATAACACGAATCAAAGATGTTCGTGTGTTTTAAAAGAGTTTTGGTGTATTGTTAAAAGCTTTTTGGTTAGAGATGTGGATGGACAGAAAGAGCAAACATGATCGGTTAGCCACCTATTGTACGTTGATCCTAAATCAAATGGATCGAATTCACGATCGTTGAATCAGCACAACTTACAACCATTCAACCACAATATGCCAATACATCTACTACCAATTATTCATCCCTGCTCTTATTTTAAAACAATAGATTAACACCCAAAATATTCCATCAGGTGTAGTTGACAGCCATTAAATTAAGGAATCTAGATCAAGGTTCACCCTCTAGAAAGTGGGATGTCTGCATGGCTGCTGTTTAGTGACAAGATGGATCATTATTCCGGAATTTATAAAGCTTATTAAGGAGAGAGACTCTAATTCATTAGAAATAATTTCAAGTGCATCGTTTATATACTGAAGCATTATTAATTTAGGATTTAGAAGTTTATAACAGAATTTTATATCAGGTTCATGAGTTATAAGTGCCTAAGTCATCCACAATATAACTTAGCCAACGATCCCAAAGAAAGCAAGTTAATTCTTTAAAACAAGTACCTTTATTAAATTAATTAATATTGTGAAATTATATTTATTTTCTCAATTCGACTGTGAAAACGCAAAAAAGTCTTTTATCTTTAATCTATTCATTTTATTTCTCTAGCTCATGTGTTCTCATACTGCAGATACATTTTTCGATGTAATGGTAACATATGATGTGAATATAAAATAATTAAAAAATAGCATGAATGCAGCAGCGTACCCATTGTAGGATCTTGAATTTAATGGCAATATTAAAACTTAGCAGTTGCTGCCACATGTTTAGTAAATTTTTGAGAACTTGGTCCAAATAGTGATGCACTTTTGCTCTTGTGGGGGTCATCCTGACCCAGTTTTGCCCAGCAAAGGATCTATCAGTGCTACAAGTAGAAAATATGTCAATATTTAGACCAGTGTTTCCCAAAGTGGGCGATATCGCCCCCCTGGGGGCGGTGGAAAGATCTGTTGGGGCCTCTGGAAAGATCTGAGTTTAACCTTTCTCTTTAAAAATTGCAGCATGCCAAAAATCAAGAAAGAGGCGTTTGTTTTTAAATGTATCTGTCAGCGGTGGGGGGGCGCTAGAAATTCACTGATGAGCCAAGGGGGGCGCCAGCCTGAAAAAGTTTATGAACCACTGATTTAGACAATATGATCCATTCATTTACCTGAGTACTCCACATCCACACCGCGGTGCTCTGCGCTGTGTAGGCGTTTGTAGCAAGGCCGCAATTCATATCTATACCCTGACCTTCTACTTATGTTCAGCGTTCAGCTTCACATTTCAGACCGATGTTTAGTAAAAATTGTCTTCTTGTTAATTCTTGTACGTAGTTCAACATCACAATTTAGACCAGTGGTTACCAATCGTACGTTACCTTGTTTAACCTTGTACACTGTTCAGCAGAACTAGTTACTTTAAAACCGACGATTACCAAACTTAACGCTTTATAGTCAAATTTAACTTCCTATTCTCAACAAATTTACTCTTTTTAAAAAGCTGTCAACATTATTGTACCCAAGTTAACCTGAAAACATAGCCTTCAGCCCCAAATCATTACCACAAGTTATTAAACAGCCCCACGGAGGAACTTTACTCCAAGTTTTACAACCACTGATGCCGACAGTGACCGAGAATAATGAAAGCCACACTTTAATGTTTTGCATGCTTCTATATAAGTTAATGTGTACAGAAGATATCATATAAGTTAATATGTGCAGAATTTATCTCATAAGTTAATATGTGCAGAATATATCATATAAGTTAATATGTGCAGAATTTATCACATAAGTTAATATGTGCAGAATATATCATATAAGTTAATATGTTCAGAATTTAACTCATAAGTTAATGTGTGCAGAATATATCATATAAGTTAATGTGTGCAGAATATATCATATAAGTTAATATGTGCAGAATTTATCACATAAGTTAATATGTGCAGAATTTATCACATAAGTTAATATGTGCAGAATTTATCATATAAGTTATTATGTGCAGAATTTATCATATAAGTTAATATGTGCAGAATTTATCATATAAGTTAATATGTGCAGAATTTATCACATAAGTTAATATGTGCAGAATTTATCTCATAAGTTAATGTGTGCAGAATATATCATATAAGTTAATGGGTGCAGAATTTATCATATAAGTTAATGTGTGCAGAATTTATCATATAAGTTAATATGTGCAGAATTTATCATATAAGTTAATGTGTGCAGAATTTATCATATAAGTTATTATGTGCAGAATTTATCACATAAGTTAATATGTGCAGAATTTATCATATAAGTTATTATGTGCAGAATTTATCACATGAGTTAATATGTGCAGAATTTATCATACAAGTTATTATGTGCAGAATTTATCACATAAGTTAATGGGTGCAGAATTTATCTCATAAGTTAATATGTGCAGAATCTATCACATAAGTTAATGGGTGCAGAATATACCGTCTACGTACTCTACGTTAATGTATACAGAATATATCATATAAGTAAATGTGTGCAGAACATATCACATAAGTTATTATGTGCAGAATTTATCATATAATATTGCAGTCACCGCTGAGTCAGCCATGGATGCGTGGGTGCGGTTGCCTTGCTGCGCGTGGGAGGGGCGAGGCAGACGCGAGTAACTCGTGCTCGTGATCTCATCCTAATGGCAATAAATATTATATATTTATAGCATCTTTACTATTGTTTCCTAATATGAGAAGATTAAGAATATACCTACTTGGAATAAGCACGCTTTTATTATTGTCCACTGTTAATAAACTTGACTGCCTATAATATCATCACTTAAATATTCTGCTTAACAATAAGTTAGTCAAATACAAGGTATATATACTTTGCTTATTGACTGGAAAATCGTTTAGTTTCCGTATGAATTCATAGACACCTTTAGTATGTACTAATCTACTTGTTTGTAATTTGTCGATTTTGCTATTCACAGATGTTCAAGTGTGACATAGACACAAACTAAACTAAGTGAAATTCGACGATCGTGTTGAAACATTCGTGTGAATAGTTACATTTAATTTAAATATACGACACATTACATAACGTATCGCTTTATACTTAAAAGCAAAGAAAACTCCACAAAAATTCATAGTATCTTTAAAGAAAACGTTTCGGAGTCCAGCTCCATCGTCAGCTCGAAAATTCTAGAACACAGATAAATCAGTAATTAGTACAGTCATGATTGCAACAAAAAAACTAAGCTGTAAAACCTATCTATTTACAATTTCAAGCGGGTAAGAGCTAAAAGCTAAATTCAAACTAGGCCTCTGTTTAAAAATATATAATGATTCTAAAATGCGCAAATCAGAAACGCCGGAACTGGAAGCTAAAACTTTGAAGTCACTGTCAGAAACTGGAACATCGCACTGCTCGGCGTGAGCCCGCACAGCTGAATGAGGGGGGCGCGACAGTAAGTTACCAGTTCTACAACTCCTGCCCTTATGTTCTGCGACCCTATGTTTAAATCTCTTTTGGAATTATCTGTTTTAAACTCTTGTTTTTATATTTGCTAACAAGCTTTACCGACAGATTGACGGTTTGGGTATGGGTCTTCCACTCGGCCCAACCTTTGCGAATATTTTTATGTGTTTTCACGAGGTGTCCTGGCTGTCCAATTGCCCTCTTGATTTTAAGCCAATATTCTACAACAGATACGTTGATGACACTTTTTTACTGTTTAAGCATCCTTCTCACGTTAAACTCTTTTTCGATTACCTAAATTCGCAGCATAAATCCATCAAATTTACCATGGAACTGGATTCTAACAATAGAATATCCTTCCTCGATTGCAATATTACTAAATCTAATGGCCGTTTTCAAACTTCTGTATTCCGAAAATCGACTTTCACAGGTCTCAGTACCACCTATTTTAGCTTTTGCTCCTTTCGATTTAAGATTAATGGGATTCAAACACTTTTACATCGGGGCTTTCGAATTTGTTCTACTTACAATATTCTGCACGCTGAATTCGAATTTTTACGCAATATTTTTTCGCTTAATGGATTTCCGACTAATCTGGTGTTTACCCAAATAAAGAAATTCATGTCCAAGCGGTACAATGAGATTGCCCCCGAGCGCGACAGTAGGGATGTTGTTTATTGCTCTTTTCCATATTTCGGCCCTGCATCCGAAACTATGTCAAGGGATCTAAAACTTCTGTTTTCTAAGTATTTCGCAAATGTTAACCTACGTGTTATATTGGTCAACCATTATAAAATCGGTTCTTTTTTAGGTACAAAGATACTCTCCCTATGCATATGCGAGCGTCCCTAGTTTATGAATATAGTTGTGCACGATGTGCATCTGCGTACGTCGGGATGACGTCTCGCAATCTTTATTCTAGGGTCGCAGAACATAAGGGCAGGAGTTGTAGAACTAGTAACTTACTGTCGCGCCCCCCTCATTCAGCTGTGCGGGCTCACGCCGAGCAGTGCGATGTTCCAGTGTCTGACAGTGACTTCAAAGTTTTAGCTTCCAGTTCCGGCGTTTCTGATTTGCGCATTTTAGAATCATTATATATTTTTAAACAGAGGCCTAGTTTGAATTTAGCTTTTAGCTCTTACCCGCTTGAAATTGTAAATAGATAGGTTTTACAGCTTAGGTTTTTTGTTGCAATCATGACTGTGCTAATTACCGATTTATCTGTGTTCTAGAATTTTCGAACTGACGATGGAGCTGGACTCCGAAACGTTTTCTTTAAAGATACCATGAATTTTTGTGGAGTTTTCTTTGCTTTTAAGTTTTTAGTGAATTTGCGATTGAAGCAAGCATGTGACATTATTACTTATCGCCTTATTTTACAGGTTTATTGCATACAAATCATGATGATTTCTTTCTTTTCAGTTGTAAATTAATAAAATTTATTTAATACTTGCAGTAAATTTTCAGCTATGGCTCTAGATTGCCAAGATTATGGCTCCCTTGTCAAGGAAGTGAAAGCTTTTGCTCAAGTTTAGAATGTAAATAACCATGAATACTTAACAATATTGCATGAATTATATTCTTATGAACTTTAAAAAAAGACGGACTAGAAATACCAATTTATAAAATTTCTGCTTGACAACTCAAACAAAAAAATTATTATTTGAATTTAGTTCATCAACTAGAAAACGATGGCTGAGTACCAAGTTGGCAAGTCGTCGCGCTACGTGGACTATACCAGCGAAGAGGGCGGCGCCGGAGGACCATATTCTTCCTATGATTTCAGTACTCCTGATCGTCCTCCAAGAAGAGTTAAATCCTCTTCAAACCACGACAGACTTCGAGAAGAACATCAAAGTAACGTTCGAGACGAAAGTTTGGATCGCCGAAACCGAAATAACTTTCGAAATGAAAGTTTGGATCGTCGAAACCGAAATAACTTCCAAGACGAAAGTTTGGAACGCCGAAACCGAAGCAACGTTCGAAACGAAAGTGTGGAAAGCCGGAACCGATCTCTAGATCGGGGCTTAGATTCACGCCTTGACAGAAGTGACGATCTGTCAAGTAGATATGACAGGAGTTTGGACCGTCTTGACAGAAGGGACATAGAACAGGGTCTTGATGATCGACATGTAGACAGAAGCGTCGAAAGGTTTGATCGGAGAGACAGAAATGGAGATCGATTGGACAAAAGAGACAGACGTGACAAGAGCATAGACAGACTCGAGCGAACTGACAGGAGTTTAGATCGCTTGAATGTGAGAGACAGGGAATTGAATCACAGTGCAGACAGGAGACAAAGAAGCTTGGACCGTTTAGATGACAGAACTCCCGTCGAAGACAGAATCGAACGCCGGCACAGAAGCAGGTCTCGGGAGTTGCTTGCCGATAATTACCCCAATCAGGTTAGTTCAATAATTAGTTTTAAGACTTTGTTTAAATGACAAATTCAATTTAAATCAACAATGATGAAACTCTTATCAAATTAAATTACATTTATTTCATTAGTAATTGGCCTGTACGATCAATTCAACAAACTAGGACCTTAAAAGGCTAGTGCACTTGCACCCTGGGAGAAATACCTCAAAGCAAGCTCAGTAAAATATGTGTAATTATTTATTTATTAATATAATAATTCTAAGCATACCTTGTGTGTAGAGTTGGAATTGAAGAGTTCACCCTTAAGTGTGCCTGTCCCCACTTGAGCAACATGCCCTTGTCTCCACGTATACCTGTTCCTACAGGACCCACAACAACTGTCCCCCAGGTGTAACTGTCACCACTGGACCCACAAACCCCTGCCCCTCCAAGTATATCTTTCCCCACAGGGCAAACAAGCCCCTGTCCTCCAGGTGTATCTATCCCCACAGGGCCCACAAGCCCCTGTCCCCCAGGTGTATCTATCCCCACAGGGCCCACAAGCCCCTGTCCCCCAGGTGTATCTATCCCCACAGGACCCACAAGCCTCTGTCCCCACTTGAGCAACATGCCCCTTTCCTCCAGGTGTACCTGTCCCCACTTGAGCAACATGCCCCTTTCCTCCAGGTGTACCTGTCTCTACTTGAGCAACAAACCCCTGCCCCCCAGGTGTACCTGCACCCCGGCACGGCGGGGGGCCGTGGGGGTAGCGACCGCGGCGACAGCGACTACGTCGTGCGCCACGACACCCACGGCGGCGGCCGCGTCTGGGACGACGAGGAACGACGCGCCGCGTCCCGCGCGGCGTCAGAGATCTACGCGTCAACACGCTTCCCGAGACCGCAGTCCCAGATGAGGTGTGTGGGGCTTCCCGAGACCGCAGTCCCAGATGAGGTGTGTGGGGCTTCCCGAGACCGCAGTCCCAGATGAGGTGTGTGGGGTGCTGCCCTCTCACGGGGTAATTGAAAGGGGTAGTTGAGAGAAAAGATAGTTGAGAGAAAGAGGCAATTGAGAGAAAAGGTAGTTGAGAGACAGAGGCAATTGAGAGAAAAGGTAGTTGAGAGAAAGAGTAATATTTGGGGCGACATCGGAACCTTGCTCACCTATAGATCGGCCCACTCAAGCGGTGATAAGGGCTGCGATACCGATTAGAGTGAGTAACGGGACTCTCGAGGAACTCTCGAGGCTTGTGGAATTTTTTATTTGAGATGCGTAGCGATTCATCAACGTTGAGTTTAATGTGGACTTAACCCAGTTGATCGAATGCAGAAAATGGGAGTGTCATCGGCTGAAAAGTTCACCGAATGAGTGCCATGAAGCCCAAGTTAATCCATCTCGTAAAAAAAAGACTTTTCCCCTTTCCGTAAAAAACGAAGTTTCCTTTTTCGCATTTGCCCATTGAGCTGGAATCTGCATTGGCCCCATGTAATCCACAGCAATCTCGTACGTAGACTGCCCTAGATAATCGGCATCGATCGATAAAGACCTATTTAACTAGATCTAGTCTGGGCTAGTGGATTTTTAAAATAAAGCTACTGTACTTCCCGAAATAGATGTCCCTTGTTATTTCTGTTGCTTGCAATTGCAAAGTAATATTTAAATGTTGAAATGAATTCCATTGAATGTGATGATTGTAATAACAAAATTATTTCCGTTAGCCAGTACACGTACCGATCAGATTTATATTTTAAATTCAATATTATCGAATTATTGTAATGACACAATTATTTCCGTTAGTACCGGGCAGATTTATATTTCAAATTAATTATTATTGAATTATTGTAATGACACAATTATTTCCGTTAGCCAGTACAGGTACCGGTCAGATTTATATTTTGAATTCATCATTATCGAATTATTGTAATGACACAAATATTTCCGTTAGTACCGGGCAGATTTATATTTTAAATTACTTATTATCGAATTATTGTAATGACGCAATTATTACCGGTTGCAGTCAGTACACGTACCGGTCAGGACGGCACGGCAGCGACGTTGTGTCTGTCAAGACGAAAACAACCGCTAACGGCAAGCTCGTCATGGAGACCATGACAGCCCCCCACCCCTGCTGTCCCAACACCAGGTCTCTACACTCATTTAAATAAGTTACACTTGTCCAAACCAGGTATCCTTTGTATGTGTTTAGGACGTAGCAGTCCCGGGCCACGCTGGACGTAGCAGTCCCAGGCCACGCTGGAGTACCACCTCTAAATTAATTAGCTAAGAGAAATAAATTAGACTTGTACAAAAGCGATGTACTTTATGCTCTTGTGTGGGTCATCCTGACCCAGTTTGGTTAGGCAAAAAGGCGTATCAGTGCTGTGCTGTGTGTGTGTGCGTATCAGTGCCATCTGCTCGTGCTGTGGGTAAGAAATTGTGTCACTATTTGGACAATAATACACTTTCATTTTTCCGAATGATATATTAGCAGACATTGTTTTGGTTTTTAATTTGGTTTTTAATAAATTGGGACTTTGTGTTTGATGCACCATTTTTGCATTATTTGATGCACCATTAATTGCACCATTCACCATTTGATTCACCATTTAATAGACCACTTAATGCACCATTTGATGGACCATTTAATGCACCATTTGATTCACCATTTAATAGACCACTTAATGCACCATTTGATGGACCATTTAATGCACCATTTGATGCACCATTTAATGGACCACTTAATGCACCATTTATTGCACCATTTAATGCACCATTTATTGCACCATATGTTAATATAGTGATGATTATATCTATCACTGTGATGCAGGTCGTGCTGCTGTCTGATGGTGCTGCTGAACCTGGGGTTGCTGCTCATCACACTCGGCTTCGTTGTGGTGCTGCAGCTGTATGACCCGCCGTTTGTGTGGTGAGTGTGGTGACCACTTATACCACACATTATACACCACTTATACCACACATTATAGACCACATATACACCACATATACCACAGTAACGTGGGTCTGTCCATGCTGATCTTCGGCTTCCTGGTGCTGTTCGGGTCGCTGATTTACTGCGTGTTTGTCTGTTGACTGCTGGTGTTACACCTGTATAATTTATACAGTATCATCACACTATACACCACATTATACACGACTTATACCCCAGGTACGTGGGTCTGTCCATGCTGATCTTCGGCTTCCTGGTGTTGTTCGGGTCGCTGATCTACTGCGTGTTTGTGTGCCGGGAGGTCGAGCGACTGCGGCCCCCGCCTGGCGAGCTCTACTGGACCAACCATTGGTCCAAGACTGTACACGTGCCTGAGATACATTACAGTAATAATCAGGCGAGTGATTAGTTAATTAATTAGTTATGTGATGTATCTCTAGCTGAGATACACTACAGTAATAATCAGGTGAGTCATTAGTTAATTAATTAGTTATGTGATGTATCTCTAGCTGAGATACACTACAGTAATAATCAGGTGAGTTATTAGTTAATTAATTAGTTGTATTTTGTAGCTCTAACTGAGATACGCTACAGCAACAACCAGGTTATCACTCGGTTCTATGTAACGTACATGTCATTTAAGTCGCCACCAGGCAATAAGTCCAGCAGCTATCTCAATCAATCGTCAGTTATAGAAAGATCGGGTTCCAAAGGCCGGATCCCGCGTGAATCAAGTCACGAAAAGTTCAAGAATCGGCACAGGCCATGGGCCTATTTCTTCAGTGCCCACACTTTTATTCCTAACACGGTTAAACATCCTGCAGAACCGCCCTGCAGACTACCGAGGCTCGGAGTTCTCCTACAAGACGGAGCCCTCCAGAGCCACGGCCGGCAACCGCACCAACAGCTCCGTCACGCGCTACTGAGACCCCAGCCAGTGTTGCCATATGGCGGCACGTCCCTCTGTTGCCATATGGCGTCACGTTCCCTAAGTTGCCATATGGCGGCACGTTCCCTCTGTTGTCATATGGTGGCACATTCCCTCTGTTGTCATATGGTGGCACGTCCCTCTGTTGCCATATGGCGGCACGTCCCTCTGTTGCCATATGGCGGCACGTTCCCTAAGTTGCCATATGTCGACACGTTCCCTCTGTTGCCATATGGCGGTACGTGACACTGTTGCCATATGATGGCACGTCCCTCTGTTGCTATTTGGCGGCTCGTCCCCTCTGTTGCCATATGGCGGTCCATCCCTCTGTAGCCATACGCCAAACCTCTTGCCAGCTTGCAAGTTGTAAAGTTTGGCTTCACAAAATGATCTGAAACACGATGAAAAAACTATTCGAATCGCGTTTAAAACTTGATTCTACGTCGGGATGTAATGGTTTGAAGAAAAGCGTCACTAAAATATTGTTTGAAACAAATATTTGCGTCGCAGAAGGCGGATCAACCATGATGTTTTGTGCTAGTATATTTTTTTATTGGTTTCATTGAGTAAGGATGATTAGATTTATATTTTTATTCATGCGCTGTATATATCGTGAAATAATATCAGAAAACATTGTCTGAATTAGTGCAGTTGCATATCGTTTTCACGTTATAATCTGAATCGTCTCATTGAGTGTCAGTTGAACATGTATTGTTAGGATATTATTGAAGCTATTCATTAAAACCTGATTCATTGTTATGCAGTCAATTTTATACTTTAAATTGACTCATGTCAGTTGCTTTTATTCCGATTGAGTGATTGCTCTCATTTACCAAAATAAACCATATGTTAAAATATTTTACTGAAAGATGAGTCCGAGTTAAGCAATTTAATTTAAGTGTGCAATTTTGTTCTTAACTTCTTTATTTTAACATGACTGCTATCAATGTTGCTATATTCTGCACTGCGGCAATATTGTAATGCAATCATTAACCTTATCTTAAAATTTTTAACATTACAATATCAAGCTTTGTGATCAATCCGTGCCATATTGTTTCCAGCAACTCTGTATAATATACAAGAAGGTATTAAATATTACTTTAACATTGAAATTATAAGTGACATTCTAATGTGCTGAATAAAATTTGGCTTTGTAATTCAGTGTTTCAGTTCTCCATTACTCATGAAAATGAATGGGTCAAGAAATGATCGAAAATAATGGGTCAAACAATTTATTGATTTCTGATCCGTTTTTTTCCACTAGCGATTTAGGGGAGTGAATATTTTTAATAATCTCTAAAAATATATTATAGGTGAGAGTTATATTTATAGCGACATTCATTCAGGTAATTTAATATCAATTAGAATAATTGAGCGAAGGTTGCTCGGCCGTCATAAATGAGAAGCGTACCAACTGAATGAATGGGCGATCTTTGTTCACATTTACATTCAAGGCAGAGCCAAAAAATATGCACAGATTTTTTATTTTTCCTAGAAATGTACAATGAAGGTCCTATTGAACATTGATGAGCCTCATTATTGAATATTCAATGCTATTTAATATTGAAGACTCTCATCGTACAATAAGGATCCTATTGAATATTTCATGAGGCGTAAATCGTTTGCAACTTCATCGCAATTCAAACGTAATATACTTTTGATACTGATGAAAATATGGGTAATAGTAATTTTTCCATATATATGCATCATTTCATATAGTGAATGACTTGAGTCAAAATTTTAGTGTGTGCGAGCAATACTCATACATATATGACGTTAAAACGAACCTTTGATAATATGAATAAAATTGATGTACAAGAATCTACAAGATTTTTAAGCAACGCTTAAATAAATTCGAACTAAAATGATTGACTAATGGTTCCATAATCTTGCGATATTACAATTTTGGCTAAAAACTTGTGCCAGAGCATGGCCCAAAAAGGTCAATGTAGTGAGGTTGACGCGCACGGTCCGCAATATCGGAATCTTGGAAATGTTTCCACCCACCTTACTTGTCGATGTATACGTAATTTATTTTTACAATTATTACAACTATTAGCGATCACAAAACAAATGGTTCATATATCTCCAGGTACAATTTGTTTTACCAAATGACTGACAGTGAGCTGTTACTGAAATCTTCTGGACACAAGGGAAATTGCGTGAAAAAATAAAAATTGAGAAATCTATCATACTTTCTGAAATGATAAAAATATTTTTATCAAAAACTATAAGTGAGTGTCAATTGGAGACTTGGCTAAATTGAAACATGAATGAAAAGTCTTTCCATATTGTTGCGAAATTCCCTCTGATTTCGGCATTTGGCAACACCGGAAAAATGGCTGCAAATGATCAGTGGATTTGAAGATAGCTTGGCTAGATTATTACGTTTTCGCGTGCCTATTAGACAATATCCTCCAAGATGGTGCTTTTAACATTAAAAAACCTTCAACAACAAACTTTTCAAGTGGAAATAGACTTAACTGCTTCGGTAAGTAATAACTAAAGATATTTATTATAAACGTACGACTATCAATTAGGAAAGTCATGACTTGTCATGGTCGTGTCACTGGTGTCGGTTCTGTCAACAAATGATTGATATGAATTCACCGGCACTATGATCTGAGCGGCATTTAGATTTTTAAAGCAGGAATTTATTAAATTTTGCAGCAATTGGAAGATTTGGTTAAGACACGAGTTTATTTTTATTTTAATTATGAGTTCATTTTAGTTTGGGAGTTAATTTCGAACAGTTATTAGTTAACCTAGTTATCATAGGCTAATTATTTACAATTGCTATTTTTATTTCAAGAATAGAGATGAGAAAATTATAAATAATTATAGAGGCATTTTATTGCATAATGATGCTGTAATGTACCCACGGTTGGCAGTCCCTCTAGGTACCAGAATCTTTACCCTGGCCCAGTGTGGAATTCTAGAGGGGTATTAAATTAACCAGTACACATAGCATATTGGAAAGCAGGACCTGAATGCTTGGAAAGGCCAGGAACTTTACACTTTCAGTCAATTATGTACCTACAATAATTGTACACATCCTATCAGGATGGAATTCTAATTTTGAAGGTTCATATATTATTTCGATCCACCAAGACCACTTTTTCTATCCAACATTGTTATTTGAGGCAAAAAATGAACTTCTTATTCTTAAAGGCATAAAATACATAGGCTAACTTGCTCAGTTTCTATAAAGTACCTAACCACTTGGAAGTTTTATGCCTGCACCTTTCACTCAACAATTAAACTTAGACTTATATAAAGTATTAGTTAGTTAAAAGTTTGTCTCTTAAGTTGACCGCAATGAACTAAACTTCATTATGTAATCATTAGGCAGGGATTTCCATCATGCGACACTAAACACGCAATTCAGAGTTCAGACGATCAGAACTACATCACATGTAAGCTATCGTGATACTGAATTGAATACCTAGCGGGAT